AGCCCCATGGCGGACAGGGCCCCGGCCCTGCTCAGCGCACAAACACCTTTCCTCTGGGGAGGCGGCGGGGCTCGCAACCCGGGTCGAGGAGCGCCAGGGCCGCCCGGAGGCCGGAGAGGGCGGGGTGGAGGAGCAGGGGAAGAAGGCAGAGATAGGTAACTAGGTGGGTGGGTGGGGACGAAAGCGGGGCGGGCTGGTGGAGGTGGCAGCGGCTCCCCTCTCAGGGTTTCTTTTGTTTCATGGCCTTAACCAGCCCCCGGCGCGCGCGGCGGCGGCGGCGACGCCCCACGCCGCTCTCCGAAAGAAGCCGGCGCGCTCTGATTGGCCGCTTTTAATCTGGGGGAGCCCGCCCTCTCCTTCCCGCAGCCTTCTAACTTCTTTCCCTAGCCCCACCCCCCCACCCTCTTCTCGGGCCCCGCCCCAGAGCTCTCTGATTGGGTGACCGGGATGAGCCAGGCCCCAAGCCTGCTCCTTCCGTCCTCTGCCCCCCACCCCTCCCTCCCCTTTCCCTACTGGCTCACGAGGAGAGGGACTGTGATTGTTCGCTTTACACGTCATTTCTTGTGACGTACACAGGTGGGGGCGGGGAAAAGGAGGGAGGCCTAAGGCGCGGTAGCAGAGGCTGAAACAAGGGGGCGGAGTAGGGGTTTTAGCGCAGGCGCGTGCAGTGGAAGCACACACCTGGGTTTCTTCGGGTCCCGGCGTCCCTCTTGCCCACCTGGGTGGGGTCTTTTGGCGCACTGTGGGAGCGGCCTTGGAGTGTAGCGTAGGCGTGGGCCCGGAGGGCGTTGTGGGAGAAATTTCCCTCTTTCAGGGTAAGGGCCTAGGGAGAGTTATCCAAGGAGGGGCCAGTGAGGTGTCCTCCTATCCAGCCGCGGGGGTGGTTTCCTGAGCCGCGTGGCTCCTGGGCCTTCCCCGCACAACCCCGGAATGTTCCTCCCTCCGGGCAGGGCCCTTCCCACGCCCAGCTGGCCCGGCTTCCAGTGCGAGGCCGGTGGGTTGCATCGGGAGCCTTAAAAGCTGAACTTAAGTTCTTGGGGGCTTTTCAAGGAAATTAATCGTTTCCTGCTCCAAGACGTTCTTCCCACAGTATTGTCCGGGGTGATCCCACACAGTAACCATCTTTTATAGGGATTTATTTTTAAATGACTTGTTACAAACAAAGCCTATTACTTTCCTTTACCTTAGGCGCTGACTACCATCACTTCCCTCGTCAAGCTCTCCCTTCCCTTCTCCCCTTTAGTACCAAGCGGTCTCCCCAGGTTAGTCTTAAATCACCAGCATTGCCCTATGGAGATAGAATGCGAGCAACCGTAATGTAATTTTAAGATGTCTGGTGTCCCCATTAAAAACAGTTTGAATGAATACACTGAGTTCATAATATTCAAAATATTATCATTTCAGCATGCAATCGGTATACAATTATTGGTATGTTTATAATTTTTTCATGCTAAGTCTGAAAATGGTGTGTATTTTACACTAGGATATCTCAGTTCAGTTTGCTTCACACTAGCTGTATTTCAAGTGCGCAGTAACTACTAGTAGCCATAGACCTTTTGATTTTTGAATTATAACTTGAGATCCTTTCTGTATTGGATTTATTATATCTTGCTGCCTCAAACTTGTTTCTTATGCATGGATTTGAGTACCTACTTTTCTAAATTGTCTAGGATGTTACAAAGACAGTAGTCCAAGAGAAGGCTGAACTATGTTTTCTGTTTCTCTATTTTTTGCCCTTATGGCCACGTGCACAATCCTACTTCAATTTACCCCAACTCTTCAATCAAAGGCATAGAGAATTTTAGCTAACACCAACGTATCCTTTTATGCCACTGTTTCCCTAATCCTCATATTAACCCTGTGTGTTGCTTCTCTGACAACTCATGTGTAGCACTAGCCTTTGGAGCAGTGGTTTCAACCCTGGCTGTACATCAAAGTTAAGAAGGGCTTTTAAAAATGGTAAATGCAGAGCAGGAAAAGGCAAACTCTGGATATTGGGATTAAGTAGATCTGGAGTGGGAACCTTGACATGTTTTTTAAAAACTACCTAGTTGTCGTGAAGCTCAGCCAGTGTTGAGAACACTAATCCAGGGTATGCATTTTGGGTTTTCAGAAGGAATCTTGCTACTTACTGACAAGTAATCTTTTTCTCCCCTACCTTCCCAATTAGGTACAATTTTCACTGATTTACTATTTCTACACCTTTTTGGAGATCTATCCCAAGGACAAAATATGGCATCTTAATAAAAAGTACTGAATCTTTTTTTTTTTACCAATGAGTAGCTTGTTTAACTAGACATTACTTATAGAATACGCAAATATGCTTGCTATCTGATATTTCCACCACTATTTGAAGGATAGGTTTTTCTAGCAAAGCAAATCTTATCAAGGGAGAAAGTAAAATAAAACATTGCGGTGACCACTCCCAGAGTTTTTTTGTCATTGGGAGGAAATGCATAGAAGGATTATAAATGAAGCCCAGAAGTTCCTTTCTCTCCTTTTCATGAATTGTCATTTAACGCTCACACCTTGGTCTTAAGTTCTCTTCCCAAGGACCCAAAGCAAAAGCTGTAGTGGGAATGACAGTTCACCATACAGTTTTCTTTTGAAAGGGGAGATGTAAAGAATTGATTCTTGCAAATAAGAGCCATTCAGCTAAGATTTTTTAAAATGCTAACTGGTTTAATTAGGTGTTCATAATATAAAAATTGCTTTCTGCTTCATTCTCATATAATAAATGAGGTTTCATAAGTTCCCATGCACAAATGTATACATTCGTGCATTAATTTATATATGATCAATATTGTGATTTATGAGCAAGACAGGCGTTATTGATGCTCACAAACTTTTCTGTTTGGGCCTAAGTTTATTGTCTTATATTAAATCTTGTGTATGAAGCAAATTTAAAATTTGCTTTTGCTCTAAATATATGGCTGTGATTCTTTCATTTAAATCCAGTAAATAACAGAATCCCCTCCACCCTCCCCCAGCCACACAAGACATTAATTTGCACCTAAATAGGGTTTCTCTTTTATTCCTACTCTGTTGTTTATGAAATGGGTTGATACACTGGGGCAGATGAGTTGCTTTAAGGATCTTAGGACAGAAAAGAAAACTACAGATTTGGCTACATTTTATCAGTTAGTAGTCTGACTGCTAAACTAGCTAGTTTAAAAATCTATCTAATTGTAATGATATAAAGGTTGGAACAATTGCAAACTGAACAGACTTTAACAAAGATGTTTGTCCTGGTAAGAAAACAGTTAGATAATAACTTTGAAGCAATGCTGAAAAGACAGCCACAAAAGGGTGGTGAAAAATTTGGCTGACATCCTTACCTAGAACCCCAAAGGAAACATCTTCTTTGTCATAAGGCCTGATGAGTTTCTTTAGGGTAGGATGTCCTCTGACAGCAGCAATACCCAGCTCCATGGCAAGTCTTCCTCAATGAACATGTCATTCTCCTGCTTGCAAATGGCTCCCAGTTGTCTAGGAACAAAGTATCCTACCTGGAATTTCACACCTTCCACACTCTGGTACATTCTTCCACATGCTTGAAATTGTTACAGAAACACACTCAAATCTCTGCGATATTAATTAAAGAGAAACTCTTCCTTAATGGCACATCTGCCTCTTATCACCACTCTTTCTTTTCTACTCCCAATCAACTCCTCCAAGAGCAGTTTGCTTTCCTTTACTGCACACTGCCTTGCACCTGTGGGGCTCTCACTGCTTCATTGAAATTAGCCTCCTCTGGTCATTGTATCCAATGAACACTTTCGATCTTTATTCTGCTTAACTTTTCCCTGGCAGGATTTGACACCACTGACTGCTCCTGAAAGCACTGTCTTCCTTTGCCTTCCTTCTGCTTTCCTTCCTACTTCCATAGTCAGCCTCCTTTCAGGCTCAGAGTCTCTACCACTCTGGCTATTTATCAAGGATTTGTCTTGGGCCTGCTCTCTGCTTTGTCCATACTCTCCACCCACAAATCTTATCCTTTCCTAAGATTCCTGCTCCCTTGTTGACAATTCCCAGATCTAGATTGTCATTCCTCATCTCTCCATTGTGTGCCAGAACCATGAATCCCACTGCTTTATGGATGTCTCCACTTGGCAATTAAAATTGAACCTCAGTTCAAGCTCAGCTTCCCAAACTGAAATCCCAGTTCACATTTGCTTTTTAGCCTAGTATTAAATAGCACCACCATCTGGTATCACCACTGCTCAGTTCCTCTGAGCGTGAGCCCAGTAGCCGTTCTTGATTTCTCCTTCAACCTCCCCAGTCAGCAAAGGCCAAACTCCGCAGCTCATACCTCTCAGCTCTCAAATCTGTCTGTCTTTCTCCATGTTTACCACCATTACCATGGTCGAGGCCACGATCATTTAGATCATGAGCTATTACAATATCCCCCCCAAACAAGAGTCTTGCTTTCCTCCAATTCAT